GGCTTGCATCTTCACCCGTTCAGAACCCGTTCAGTTCTTCCGCAGAACTGAACGGGTTCTGATGAGAACAGTGTAAGCGTTCAAGCAAACCACTTCTGACGATGCAAGCCACTCGTGCTTGCGAAACGTCAGGAAGAAATTCTAACAAACGACGAGAATTAATTCGGCCTAAAAACCCGAAAAACCCATTAATTTCATTAAAATTTATTATCAATAATTAATTAAATGTATATAGAAATCTGAATCCATTTATTCGCAGTCGAACTTTCTTAGACCCGAATTAATAAAATAACTTTTGATTCCGGATTCTTACTTCATAACCGGAACAAACTCAATCGAGTAGAAACAACCCAATTTAGTCGTTTTCCATTGTTCATTGATCAAAGTTTGTCGGATATTCCAAACAATATTAATAAGCAGTATTTAGTAATTAAAAAGTAAAATGTTTCTATGTGGTGATTAAGATCTAAGTTAAGGTCATTTTTTTATTCAATTAAAATAAAGCTGATATGCTAATTTGCCTAAATGTCTCATTATGTAAATCTGCGAAAACATTTACTTCCTGTGTTATAATTTTGTCATTTTACACCTAATGATGTGTTGAGTCAAAATTTCAGAATTTTCCAGTTTTAGCCAAGTTACTCTTTCTTCTAAATGCTCAATTTTCCAAAGTTTCACTCAAAAATGCTGCCAAACTTAACGTATTTTCCGTGGAAAATTATGAAATAAATTTCGATTCCTTGGTCGCTTTGTAAAAACTTTTGAAATCCCTTTCCAGCGTCGAATTTGAAACAAAAATCAAATCATTTTCTATTAAAAGACGAACAGAAGGAAAGCTTATAACAAGATTATTTGGAAATCTCGTCACCGCATTTCTCTGAAGACTGTAGAGTTTGTTAAAAAAATGTGTTTTTTTTAGGTTTGACTGAATTTTTTTGGGCTTTACTTTCTACTCAAAAACGCCCAATTTTGTGGAGTTTCACTTGAAAATACTGACGATCTGGAAACCGTTTACGAGAAAAATTACACGATCAATTTATAGCTTTGTAAAAATTTTACAAAAACTTTTTCCAGTCCCGAATTCGAGACAAAAACGAAAATAAATTCTTCCCGTTTTTCCCCGAAAACCATTAAAGTTTTTTCCAAAATCGATCACAAACTTAAAAGTTTTTAATCGAAAACGCAAAAAACCATTATTTTCTGATGATTTCCTTAATGGGGTCTTTTCAGCCAAAAATGACAAAATTAAGTTTGCGACAAAATTCGTCTCATTCATTGGTTTGCAGGGAACTTTAGAAAATCCTTTTCAGCTTCGAATTTGGCACAAAAACCAAATAATTTTATTCAGTTTTTTACCGAAAGTAATTAAGATTATCTGGAAAAAATTGCCAGGGAGCAAAAGTTTACCAAAAATTATTTGAAAAATTCGCTGCATCGCTCTGAAAATATTTAAAGTTTCTTTAAATTTTCAGGTCATTCCAGTTTTAACAAAGTTTCTATTAAGCAATTCCTTCTACGCAAAAACGCATAATTTTTTAGTTTTACTTGAAATACTGACAATCTTCTGTGAAGAATTATAAGATAAATTTTATTGGAACACTCGCCTCCTTAACCGCTTAGCAAAAATGTTTGGAAAACTTTGTGCAGCTTCGAGTTATGTAGAAAACCGTAATAACTATTTCTGGATTTTTTCCAAAAATATTTCCCCGAACTGAAAAACCGAAAGTTTATAATCATTGTTTTGAACTTTGAAAACCGCTACGCTTTACTGTAAAATCCTGGCAAACTGAATTTTTTATGCAAAAAAATCTAAATGACTTTTTTGAGTTGTTTGAACAAAGTAGTAAAACGTTACTACTTTGTACTTTGAAAAATGTTGATGACCTGAAAAATGGAATGAATTATAACTCATTAACTGACGAGTTATAACTCGGTAACTCAGAGAGCGGCAACAACTCAATAGCGCAACTTAACACAGTGTTACAAAAAAAATTCGACAAAAAATGCCAATTTTTTCCAATGAATAAACTTTGAGTAGTTGTAATTTTTTAAAACATTTGCATCGATTTGTATGGTGAACAGTCTCAGCCCGGTTTCTGTGAGTTGATGTTAAATGACGATTCAAATCGATCAATATTTTCTATTTTATGGTATTTAGATGACAAGCAAAATCACGACACGCACATCAGTGCTTAATACAAAAACCGACCCACTTCTTCAAACGAACTGAAATAAATAATCATCCAGCTAAAGCGTACCAATAGCGGTACTTGGAGTACTTTATGAACCATTTGTGGTGCGTTCAGTTATAGTAATGGGCTTTCTCAGTAACTTACAATAAAATAAATGTAACAAAGCGACGAGTTTTTGCTGTTGGAAGTAAATTCATTTTGATTTTTTAAGAGTTTAGATTCAGCTCTTATTAAACATTTCAGCTACTAGTTCTACCAAAAATGCAATTCTGCTATTGCTCACAATTATCCTTCGCCCAAGAAGCCAACGTTCTTTTTATCATAGTCATTTTCTCTAGCTCTCGGTTCTTGTCGATATTCAGCAATGTACCGAGACTAATGATTGTGTAGAACCAAGAAAGAATGGTACCGCAGGCGGTCAAGAAGGCACCTAATAACCTCTGTATTATGGATTTGTGGAATGGAAACGAGAGTTACGCTTGATATGAAAGATTATTGACGTTGAATTCGCCAGGTGCCGTTCTTACTGTACTATAATGACTTGTAACAATGCTAAGTGCTTCAAGGAATGTTCAATTGAAAAAAATCAGGCAGCTTCAGTTTGAAAATCGCGTCTTCTAGAAGTTTACTGTTTGCAAATTGATGTAAATTTTTTTTTTAAACAAAAAGAAACTAATAGAAATATAGATAACTCTCGCTCATTTCTATGATTGGTTCTATATCTGGTTCAACCTTATTTGATTCAGCAACATATTCAAACTAGGTAATTACAATTATGTAACATTTCTCATTTTGCCTTATGCTATACGAGCATTAGAAACAAAGCTAATTGCATTTATTAAGTCAGAAATAACATACGAATATTATTTAATTAGCGCTTTATACCAGGAAGGTAAAAGTTGCGACATGCAGTTTTAAAAGTTCCAATAACTTTGAAAAGAGCATTTCCGTTGCATAACCAGAAAAGGCTTGAGACTGGTAGACACTTATAATAAGCCATAAATAAAACCATTTTGTTTAAAATCTGGAAGAATCACTGAACAATTTGATACAAAAAATGGCATGCGGTCAGCTTGTAAACTAAGTGATTTAAATCAGAGCGAGCGATTCGCAGAATTGGAAATGAAAGCCGAATGGAAATAAATGTTGAAAAAATTGGTCAGGCTTCGAAGATTACTGGGTTTCAGTGTCCATAACAGTATTGTAATGGGTGTGGGTGAGACAATAGGTTACATACGGTATGTTGAAATTAAAGGTGTGACCATAAGATGTTCCTTCCTACTGACCGAGTTATTTAAATACGAATTATTTGTGTCGGACAAATGAGAATATTTAGTGTCGCGATTCGCTCGCTTTCCATGCCCAAAAAGTATCTAAGAAATTTTGTTATCGACCCAACTGTTCCTCCAACGCTTCTGTTTGTAAAATATTTGAACTGTTAATGGAGTTTTAGGCGATTTGAAGCAAAAATTAAATATTCTGGTGGATCCAAATCTTCAGTTTTTTCTTTCATCTCAGCAGTCGATAATGGAAGATTGTGTTTATCTGAGAAATAAATTTAGTTTTATTCCAGCTGCTCGTTCCTTCATAACTAATTTTTGAAATGTGAAACTTCTAGATGTTTTTTAATGAGTTCGATGCATTCCGCGCGTCGTCAGCTGAAAATTGAGCAAAATTCAAGACATTTTGAGATTTTTTTTTTTCAAAAAGTCGAACTCCACCCTTAGAAAAATTTGGGCCAAAAATCAAAATTTCACTCTTACCCATTAGTCAATAATTAATTTCTTCCACAAGGAATATTTTCCGCATAAAATCGGTACTTTTCCCCTTTCGCAGAAATCAACAACCTTCATTGCCTAGAAACCGTCCTGTTGACGTGCTATTCCGGAAATACGTAGGTAAACCTGATCGACCAATCGCTTGTCGACTCGTTGAATACAAGACGATACCATGACAACCCGTCAATATAAACACATCTTTAAAATCAGTTGTCAGTAAAGCAATATTTACTGCAATTGAAGTTTTCAATGAGCCGGTTTTTACACGTCCGTTTTGGAAAAAGTTTCTTATTTGTTGGAATTGCCTCTCGAAGGATTGAAGAACGCGAAAATGTGATTTTAAACTAGAAAAATAGCGATTGTAAAGGAAATGTTGACGATTTTTGTGACGTAAATTGTTGGCGGGACATTAAGGATGGGAAGCTTTCAAATTGAGACCCGGTATATTGGAAAACAAGAGCATTCTACAGGGTGACCAAGGTAAGAGTGCATTATATCTGAAACTTCTAGCATGAATGAATGAGTTCGATGCATTCCTCGCGTCCATGAGCTGAAAATGATGTAAAATTTAAGACATTTTGAGAAAATTTCCAGTTTTTCTCTGTTTAGAAGCCAAAATGCAAAAGATCTCGTGAGAATAATGACCGGAGTATGGGGGTCTCAAGGGGTTTTTAAGAAACGGCCCACAAGGTAACAACAAAACCGTGTAAAATTGTAGAAACCGGGTAAAAAATTTCGCCTTTTATGCGAAAATTTACAATAGTATCCAGGTGCAGTACCATTCGGAAAAAATCAAATTCAAAATTATCTTATATGTACGGAGGCGAATGCTCAAATGTTATAGAAACCTCCAATACATTTCTAAGTTTCTGTGACAAATACATCAACATTTACCAGATAAACACGTGTTTTGTTTCCTGTCGTTCGCCGGAGAAAACCAGGAAACTTTCTAAGTAATGCAAATTCTTAACAAAAACTGAACTCGACTAAAATAGTTATTGATATTAAATGCAAAATGTCAATTCGAATCTCATTTTGAATAATATGAAACGCTACTTTCTTCAACTTTGTTGTCGTCTGAGGTGAGATTTACGGCTTAAGAACATCTGCGATACGATTGTTCTTATAAGCTGAAAGTCATTAATCTAGATCCTGTTTCCGTGTCGTTTGTCGAACGGGACACCCGCTATAATGTTGTTGTTCTGCGGATTAATTTCCTCAAATGTCCACAATAACTCCAATATCAGATCGATGGGAGAAATTTAATTTAATTGAATTAAAAAAAAACGAGAAATTAGACCAGAAAAGTTATTAATCTTTGCATTGTCTTGGATTGAAAGTTGAGCACATGGAGAATTAAGTGATCTGGATAATGGTGGTTTCTTATGTAATAAGCAGTTAACAGTTGGTTTTTGGTCATTAAGACTCATAATTATTATCACAAAAGACTTTTTCAAAATATCCCCATTCCGAAGAAAGTACTTGCAAGCATAAAAATAATCTAGACATCGAATTTAGTTATTCCCGACAGACCTTTTTACGTTTCAATATACTTCAATTGCATTAGACCACAGTTGCATAATCCCTAAAGGCACAATTGCATAACTTGCTCAATTACAGTCTTTCGTTTGGAAGAATCGCCTGGGGAATGAGTCGAAAACCCAACAACTTTTAAGCAGTCCTGCGTGGCTCTACTGCAATGCAATTTTACGTAATCGCTAACCTTTACCACGTCGAATAACTCATTTATTAACGATCATTAGCTATGCATGGTTACCATACTTCTCTTTGTTGCATCCATATGATTTCTCCGCAAATACGCAAATAATACCGAGCACAAAATCACGGGCATAACGCAAAAACAAATTTATCATGCGGGTTTTCTAAGTTTATCCAATCCGAAGTTGCTGTTTTAATTTAGTGTGCTTGATGGAAGATACGACTACTACTAATTTGGAAAGTGAATATTCTGAATAAAATGCAAATTAGAACGTGCTTTGTGAGATTTATTTAGCCAATTAAAGGGAATGGAAGCTAATTATCGTATTTATCGATTTTTGGGTTGGCTATCGTTTTGATTAATCTGCACGACTAGGAAATATCGAAACTCGAATGCCATAAATGTCCTCGGATACTTAAGAGCATGGCTAGGAACACAAATGAACAGGACAAGAAAATGTTGTAATTGGATAAATTGATAATTGTTTGTTTTAAAGTTTTAAATACATCTGTGAATATGTGCAATTAATGTTGTACAATTAGCAACAGCTTCATTCTCAGAAATCTTTCCATGCATAAATAAGAAAGACTTCATAGGACATGTTCGAAATTATACGCAAACGGCGACTATTTGGTCTAATAGAGGAGATTTTGCGTACATTTTAGTTACATTTCATTTCTGCTTAATTGTAGTAAGCAATACGTGCATAGGCCTATATTAAGACCAGAAGAATAACCTGATGGTTTCCCCATCTTTACATGGCACTTTACACGCTATTAATTAAGACCATAACACAAGCACGTACAAAAGTCTGTTAAGCATAAATTTGCCAGGTAGCTGGTAGAAAGTGCCAGCGCTTCATACAAAACTCAAAAGTATATCAAACAAGTATGTTAATGGCCATAATAATCCAGCCATAGATTTATATTTATATGAAAAAATGACTTCCAATTGCTCAAGACATGTGACTGAAAATGCCTTCGCGAATTTGAATGAAGTGAAATGCAATGGTTATAAAAGCGGACTTAATATCACGATACAATAACATGTGTGCACCTTATAATTATTTATTATTAGGAGCCAAATGTTGATTCCGTAATGACCGTTTATCATAGAGAAAGCGCTTGGTTTTTATTGGAAAAAAGGTAGAAAAAATGTTAATGTTCTATTTTATATGCTTCAAGTGCTTTCGTTCAATTCGATGAAAAAGTGGTTTATTGAGCTCACATATTACATACAGGATGCCCCAAGTAAAGTCTCCAAGACTGGACAGTTTTTCGGGCCACAACCCGAAAAAATCACCAGTAGCTCTCATAAACATCTACAGTATTTTCATTTCTCAAGACATGAAACTTTTTTCAGAAACAACTATACGATTCGACGAAGATCGTTTGACGTATACTTAAAAAGATCAAATTTAACACCATTTTGTCAGTCAATCAGTATACTTTTAATTTGATGTAAATGCTAAATTTAGGGATTTGCAAAGATGTATAAGAATTGAGAAATAAAAGGTTTCCAATTGTATTGAGCGTTTGGAATGCATTTGCACTTAATTATGGTTTCTTGCATAACATGGGCCTTTTGAATCAAACCGATCTAGCAACCCACATTCTGAATAATATGGAAATAATTTAATGAGACAGTGGCAATAACTGAGGAATCTCATAAACATTTTTCAATCTCGATTGTGTGATTAATTGTACTATTTTGAATTGTACAATTGCTCATGTATAGGCAAAAAAATATTTTCTTTGCTTTTTACCAGTACCTTTAATTGAACTTTAGTGTTCGACATGTGTACTTAATCGGAATTTTGTTCATAGGAAAAAAGTGAGTAGTATTTTTGCAATTACGTATTTGAGAATGCACTTTACGTTATGGAATCATTCTTAGTGGAATTAAGCAGAAAGGGAGTTTTTTCTTTTTTACCCGCTATTAATCCAAGTGATTGTTGCTTATATCCATTGTTTATTTTTTACGATTGAAATGGATTTCTCTTTCTTTGTTGCCAATTGGTTAAACCATATCAAAGATTCGACAAAAAGCTAGATTGAGTTAATCCGCGAGTGTATTGTCAGAACATATTAGCAATTTAATAAATGTTTTGCTGAAAGTTTACTAATTAAAAAAAACAACATTTTTGATATCAATTATATACCGTATACTCAAAGTCGATTCGATATCCGGATAAAAATAGGCAGTGTGCGGCTTGAAAGTGTAAATTAAGAGACCGAAATTTAAAAAGCATAAACATGTGACCGGAAAAAAGGACTTTTACATCGGATTGTTGCGTATGACAAGTTTGCCAGGCCAAATGGAAATTGTCACACAATTTCTGCTGAAAACTAGAGCTGCAAGAGAACACATATTCAGGAATTGACCGAATCAAAATAATCTTGAGTGCAGTTGTTATGTTTTTTTGCAAATATGTTAAAAATGGGTGCACTTTTTGTTGGCCTCATTGTCTGAACGAAACCCCAAGTAAATCATTGACCTTATTTCGAAACTGATAATTGGCCAATGCGAGTGCAGATAATTAAGCAAAAACTCTAGATTCTCGAAGTTAAATACCAAAAGTTAGATAACCCGTTACATTAGCAACCATACCAAATAAACCCAGCTGAAGAAATGGCTTGAAGCTACCACAGAGGTCAGACAATTTCGCTTTTCGTTCTATTAAAAGGTTTGCAAGAAATAATGAGTGAAGCAGATTTTGTAGATTGAATTAAGATTTGAAGATAATTTAAAGCTGTAATGTGCAGTTGAAATATTGGTACAGCTTGGAACCAGTCAAGCCCAAGCAGAATGTGCAGCAACGAAATGGATAAAAATGAGATAGAAAATTGAAAATAATTATGGGATAACGCATAAAAGTAGTTGGGTAACTAAAAGTAATTTGCAAATTCGGATGTTTTCATTATTCTTAGTTTGTGCATCTGCAAAACTGTCAGCTCCTTAGACAAACTATTTATTTAACTTTCCGAAAGTTATTAAAAGTGATTTGCATTTATCAGCTCTTAGAAGCTAAAAAAGTCAGTTTTTTAACATTTTCACACTTTTTAAGTTCTCACACTTTATTTTGCCGCCTTTCAGGCGTTTGCATTTTTCTCAAAAAATAGCACAGAAAAATAATTAACCAAAAGAAAGTTTGTAACTTAAAACTTTTACATTTGGAAATTATTTACCCTAAATTTGGAACTGGATAAATTTTCTGCTTGAAGCATTATTTACGTAGATTCGTTTTATGCCAGCCCGGGTTTTTGCTAAAGTTTCGTACTTTCTACCGGGTGGAAAATGAAACAAGGCAAAATATTTCAAAAAAGTTTGATATGCTCGCAGCCGAACAAAAACACTTTTCTTAAAATTTCAACACTAAAAGCCTAAAGATCGATCAAATTTCTCAATCCTATCTTTTTAACTATTTATAAAGTGATATTAGAAAGTCAACATTTTGGGCCAATTTTAAGCAACATTTTTCTTTTGGTTCAATTATCAAAATTTTCAAAATCAATCAAGCTCATGTTGAAGCTAAAACTTCATAGGCCAACATTTAATATACAGGGTTGCATTAAACATAAGCTTTCAATTAAAGTGAAGATCTTAAATCGACTTATCGAAGGTCTAGCTTCAATATGAGCTGTAGATTCTGAAAATCGGGCCAAAAAGAAAAAAGTTAACAATGCGAGACCAAAAAGTTGTGTCTAGATCTGTGTGATGTAACTAGCGTCTTTGCAGTGTTTTCAGAACATTTAATCCTCTACATTTCACAAGAGATTCATCTTGAGCCCAATTTGGGCAGTCAACGAGCTTGAAAACAACATTAAGTAATCTATTTGTGCTGTAAAATAGACGCAGTCTCACAAATTTATTCTTCTTCTTAATCGGATCCATTGAGAGCTTGTAAGTTGTTTTTCTCAATTATTATTTCTTATTAATTTCAATAATTAATAAATTTAATTTTAAATTAAACAAGTATGTTGTTTATTCGATGTGTTGTCTACATTACATGGAAAGCATGCTTGTATTACATGACGAAAATGGTGATTTACCTGGTTATCCAACACATGCAAGTCGAGACCTGGAGTGCAAATTTGACGAGAAAAAATCCGTTCACGAATGCGATCTAGAAAACGTTGCTCAATACGAAATTCCACACGTTCGAACAACGGTTTTTGCCAT